AACAACAACAACAGTGGTAAACTCTGAAAGGTATTTCACTGCTAACTCAAAAGCCTCCCCTCTCTGGTGGTTCGAACCCACCACTGACATCGTGAGAGAAAAATGGACAATCTCCTCCCAGGCTATTTATAGCCTCTGAAGGTCTGCTAGCGTGTCTAGCTATGACTCAGTTTAGACCCCATAGCAATGAATAATTGATATTTCTTTTTTAACTATGTGAATATTCAGGACATATCTTACTTTATATAAATATATATATACACAAGAATTTGTGAACAATGTAGGATATTTTACACTTAGGGCCACTTAAAATTCTTAATTAAAACCATGTCCTTTGTGTCTCTGTAAAATTTACCAGTGTAATGAATTTAGCATTTTTCTATATTTCATTGTTTTCATATGTCTTTCCCACTGTGAGGTCTTTGGAGGGCAGAGTCTCTGGCTTTGCCTGTACCTCCCCAGTCTCCAGAAGTAACTGGCACGCTGTCCCGTTAGCTAAGCTGCTTAAATGCATGGTTTCCTTGTAGGATTGTTGGCTACCTGAACTCTCTTCACAGTTCAGACACACAGGTGTAAAAACCAGAAAGAAAACCAAATGAGATGGAAATTGGTACTTTCCCCCAAAGATAAAATCAGCTCCTTAAAAATTCAGGGAGAAAAAGGAAGTGGTTTGGGGCATTTCTTTCCCCCTTTTCTCAGAAATGACCAAATTACTATGTTTTCCCCCTTCAGTGCTTAAATACCCCTTCAGCGTCTCTAAAAGTACAGTCTATTAAATTGTTTATGGCATAACCTCAAAATTCACAAAAAATTGTCTCAGACTTACCTCGAAACTCACAGCCCCATTGTGGTCGGTATCAAAGGCATTGAACAGAAAGTGTGCGTATGTGGTAGAGTCTGAAAGGGAGGAAAGAAAAATCAGCGAGTCAATAGGTCTAGGTCTTACCTAAGTCTTTTTGGCACAGAGATGAGCTGAAGCTGAATGTTGAGGGCGGCCTCCATACTGTTTATTTCCTTATAAAAGGCCAATTTTTCTTAGTCCAAAACCCCACCAGAGTCTTACTCGATTTTTTACACAGCTAGGCTGGCTCTGGACAGGGAAGGGTTCAGAGCTGCTGTACATAGAGTCGTTTTATATCGCAGGCGACTCAATGGCACCTAACAACAATAATATACTGTGACAGGTTTGGAAGCAGGAGTGGCATCCACTTCTAAGTAACATGCCTCCAGACACTCTATGAATTTGGAAAAACGTCGATAGTTGTAGAGGGGCTTCAGGCTTTTTGTCCATAGGGTCACTATGAGTCGTGCTCGATTTGAAAGTAATCAAAAGTGACTTTGAACATGACTGAAGGAAGCGGATGTTTAGCCACTGAGGTTTTGCCTGCTTTACTCCCCTGTGGAACCTCACTCGATATCATCTAACCAAACCTTCCGAAGACCTGGTGCCCTTCAGGATTCTCTAACTCGGAGAAGTAAGTGGAGGAACCCTTCCTAGAAGTCTAAGTGAGCCTTCTAATCCCTCCTCTTTCTCCTCTGTCTTCTGGAGCTTTCCTGAGTTACTTGTCTGTGGAAAGTCTCCAGCTGAGAGAGATTGCCTCTTACAAGCAAACTGTCAATGCATCGCACCCAGTACTTTGATATGAAACAAATCTTGTTGGCACACATTTTCCTTAGGCAGCCCAAACACCTGTTCCTCCTTTAATTCAGGAAAATTAAACCTACATCCTT